TGGAAACAGAAGATCCTAGAAACTTTTGAAACAACCCTCAAAGCAGCATGACAGCCGGGAAGGATGGGGCAAATATGCTCCTGAGGTTTGATTCAGAAAGTGTGAATGTAAATTCCCAACTTACTGGCACCACGCTTGGATTCTGGACTAACAAACTCTTCCCTTTAAGCACATCACATGGACTGGAAAAGGTTCAGCTCCAAGTGTAAAATCTTCTATGATGTTCTTCAACAGTACATTATTGGAAGATGTGCTATGTGGGTCTTTTCGTGCATATTCACTAATATGAAACTTCTTCAAAACTCTGTAGACCTTAAAGTGCACTATCCAAAAAGCTGAGGACTCCACTTTGCCTACAGCTTACACTTCTGACGTAAACTATGTGCACAGATGCAAATGTCTCTGGCTATAACTACAACTTTTCATTCAACACAGGCATATTTAGAATACACTGATTCATACTCCATAATACAGAACTCTAAATTTTAATTTGGAACTTATAGTTGCTTCTGTAATAACAGGATATAAATTTGGAAAACTATATTTTTATTCCCACAACATTTTATGTTGGAAAGTAGTTTCGACATTCTTCTAATCTATCACCATATTCATTGTAAGGTTGCATATGAAAATGCACCTTATAAATGCACCTTATAAATGCACCTTTATAAATGTAAAGTTGTATACTAAAATGTATGGTACACAACCATGGGAAAGGACAGGTAAAAAATCCTCAAATAAGAGGAAGGTAAACTAAGCCCACTCCTTCTTCTGAAATCTGCTAATTGCACAGTTTATATACAAATATTTTCCCTTAATTCTTATTTTAAAATCCATCAGCTGGACAAGATTCTCAACTACTGACAAATCAATTCAGAATTAGTAGTGAAAACATCTCATTCCAGTTTTGTTTGCTTCTCTAACTGACAGATCATCAAACCTACTTTTTTATTTTTTGAGTCATCATGGCTAGGCTTCGCGAACGAAGATTTGGGAATATTTTTTTTTTTGAGTAGTGACAAATTAATTAAGTAGAAAAAAATTCTCTACATCTTTCTGTATGACTACTTTCAGATGACACAAATCATTACCTAAAGGTACCTTTTCCCCTTCTTTGTTTAAAAGTCTCACTAACTAGCTTGGTCTCATTCTACATAAATACTTTTTTCAGATTAATCCTCTCCAGTGCACCTGACAGTGAAGATTGGACCTATGCTCTTAGAATCAATGTCAAAGTAGGCATTGAAAATTGTAGTCCCATTCCTTAATAATCTTACTTATTGTAATACTTTTTACTAAATAAAATCTATGTTCATGTAGTGTAATAAAAAGCCATATTTTCAATTACATACATTACAAAAACTTTGGATGGACAGCATACTTTCACAAAATCCATAGACAGAATTCAAAATTTAAGGAGATGATAGTACTTCATCCCTTAGAACAGCATTGTTAATTACCCTCAAGCTTTTCACAGCATCCATGATTCACTAATTTTAGCAGAAATCTATTCCTTCTCAAAATACAAAGATGCCAAAGCAGAGTTTCTGAGTAAAGGTTTCTTGGCATCTTAAGTAAGGTTTCCATTTTTCTACAATGTAGCAAAATGGAGTTTATCATCCTTTTCCACAGTCTACAATTTTTTCTTTTATTATGCATCCCCACCTGACCTTCGAATATAGAACATGTTGATTGTTTTGAAGTAAGGACACTGAAATGAAGCAGCTGGTTAAACCATATTCTGTCATGTCCCTCACCTACTTACATCTTAGCATATTATATATCCACAGTATTTCCCATGAACTTTATTTGCTTCATTTAATGTTTTCTGAAGAAACAACACATGAGTCTCTTGTGAGCGTGCTTTACATTTCTTTCATCAAGCATCAAATCCTGAAAAACATCAGACTTCAAGTACATGAGTAAAGTATAATAGTTTTCCTTTAATGAAAACATGGATGACACTAATGTTGGTATTAAATATCTTTACTACACACTTTTTAGTGTCTTTTAGTTTAATTATAGAGAATTTAACAAGATATGTACAATCACAGATGACTGAAATATGTAATGCATTTGCTTGAAAGAAATGTATACTGCTCATTTGACTGACAGATTAACTACAGATATTTGGAATGACTACCCATTATGCTACTCTTTTATTACACTCCTTTTACTATATATTATGTGCATCACTTAGCAGAATTTAATTTGTATCGTTTCTTTCATTAAGGGGAAGCTGCACTAAAATGAGCCTTTTTTGGAATAGTTGTCTTTTTTGAGTTTTATTATTCCATAATTAACCAGTGTACATACTATTCACACAAGAGTACCAATTCACTGTGATCAGCTCCAAGCAAAGTTCAAGTGAGGGCTAATGATGCCTTAAATTTTATGGAGGAAAAATATGGCTGTGATCTTGTGACACAATCAAATTGAAGGGAACTTAACCAAAATGCCCTCAGAGATGGAGCTTCAATAACATTACATGCTGCTGTGAAAGAAAGGACAACCTAAGGTCACTTACTTTTACCTGGGTGATCTGGAAAATGGCCTGTTACGTACATTGCTAGGATAGGGGATTTCTTTGCTTTTGAAATGTTTGCTTTGACATTTCAATTTCTTATTAGAAATGTGGCTCTTTGTTTTGAATGACATATGAAATAGAAACAAAACCCCAAAAGAGTAAGAGTTTGGAAGCACACCAACAGGAGTAGCTGTTTGAAGTGTTCTAAATTCTGGGTGAGCAGCTAGAGATGTATTATAATAAAACAGCCTTCACAGAGCATGCATCTCTGTAATGATGAATTTGTATAAGGGAAGCAGTTGGCTGTGTTAAGATGGTATTTTATACCTGAAGTCAGAAAACCGTTTTTAAAAAAACAGCTCAATCTGCAAAGATGGAACTTTCATTAAATCTTACTGAGATGCCTGTAAAAATGCAATAAACTCTCCAAATAAACCACAATGCAATAGTATGACTTCCAAAGACTTTTAAATCACAACCACAGGAGAGGTATGACTATAATCTTCTACAGAATATAAAGATCAGGGGAGGTAAGCACTACTTTTGGATTTGCAACTTAGGTCATATCTGGCCCGACTTTTCAGATTAGTCAAGTACCCACATGTCCAACTTCATCAGCTCACATACTGCTGCAGACACCCTACACATAAGAAAGCGGGAGTTTTTTTGAGAAACCTAGAATGCTTTGTCGGTTTTGAAAATTTCTGTGTGTTACTCTTACCTAATAATCCAGTGATAGATTTACAAGAAGAATGAAATATTTCGTGAGATTCATTTTCATGTATTAAGCGATATTAAGATGATCATTAGAGAAGAGGGAGACAGTTAACAGAACTGCAGTCTATATTTAGACATTGATTCTTCCATTTCATCAGAGAATATATTAAATGTCACATTCTGTTGCACAGTCAATTAGAGAGGTAAGCACAACAAAAAAGAGTTTTCCTGCTGGTTTTGTTACCAGCACAGCATGGTATCAAAAAAAGAGACAGGGCTACCCAGCCAGGAACAGACTGCACTAGTGCTAAAATATTTTAGCCTTGAATAAAGATGAAATGCAAATATGAAGCAGTTCATTTTATAACATGTATAACGTTAACTGAAATTCTCAAGAGTTAATAATCTAACCTTATATTTAAGTCAAAGACATCTGCAGTAGGAAGCAAGCTTTGGATTTTACCTGCCAGAATAATATGCTAAAGTGAGGCATAAGTAAGAAAACTGTATAATGACGAACCAAGTATTTGACAATATAAAATTTTAAAAACAAAATTATTCTGAAAAAGATTAAAAGATTATGTGTAAACAAGTCTTCTTTGGCCCTCAACCTTTACAATGACATAACAGCTATTTTAACCTAATTTCCTGTGTAGGTGACACTGCAATTATCATTTATTAAAATATACCCATGCCATTTTAAAGATATTTTAGTTAATGAAGCCATATATAATTCTACTTTATAAATATTATGATCATTAATCAAGATGAAACAAGTATTTTATTTATCTAGAAGATAGGAAAAACCAAAAGTCTCAAAAATAGAAAGTTTAAAACACTGGGGAAAAAGGGAAATATAAGAAAACAAGCAGAATGAACCCCATGAGATATCAGCATATCTTCTAATAAAACATCTTAGTACAGATACTCAGAAAAATGTATCCAATTTTTCTCCCACTCTTTCTAGTTTAAGAAAAGTGAAAGAATGTCAATATCTTTCTCACAGTAAATCAGATTTTTTATTATGAGGAGGAAGAGGAGGAGACTGAAGAAGAGAATCTTGTAATAGAGAGTCTTAAACTCAGTTTAGAACTGAACTGATTGGAAATTTAGCATTGAAAAGTTTTGCACATGCAGGCCAAATCTTTTATATTGAGTAATGCTAAATCTAGAAGGCAGGTAATTACTTTGAAGCTGTATAATACCAAATTACTTTTATTGCTACTGAGTAGCTAAAATTTAGACTTTCTTTTTTCCTTGCACATGTATTTCTATATTTTTCTGTATTTTCAAAGATAAGTAACACTGATGCAGTTTTGCTGACAAAACAATTGCATTAATGAGCTGTTGTTTTCTTTAAGAGAACTGAGGAGCTTTTGATAAATCAACTGCAGGAGTATATAAGCCTTTCAGAAAGTTATTACAGAAGTAACATATGAAAAGGTATCTAACAGGGTCTTTTTCCTGCTGGCAACCTGGAGCTTACTGTGCAATTCCTTCTTATATTTCACCCATTGGCTTGCATACTCTTAAGCACAAGCACTATAAAGAGATCTGCTTTAAATACCAGAGAAAATACTAAATACTCTTCTTTTTCTGCTCAATTAATTATCTAAACATTTCATCCAGTAATTGTGTTTAAAGGGATAAAGTAGAACAACTACATGTATTGCAACCCTGTGTTCCTTATGGAAAGAATATAAGACAGAATAAAGATCATGAGGCTTTCAACTTGAAAAATCAGTGTTTCTCATACCTTTTGTTTGATGATCATGTCGTTGATGTCATCAAGATCACCTACTACCACTCTCTGAGATTTTATCTCTCGATCCAGTCGAGAAAGCCAGTCAGTGAGTTCTGCCCATGCCTTATTGAAGTCAGCCAAGGCTGGAACCTCCAAAAGCACAGAAGATGGCATTTCTGGTTTGAAGGTGATGGTTTCCTTGGTTACCCTGGTTTGTGTATCCACAGCAACAGTTTCGCCAGAAGTTACTGAAAGAAAAAAAATGCTAAAATTACTGAATAAATGAACTATGATAAATGTTTATTTAAGTAACAGAATTTATGCGGTAGAAAGAGTAACACAGAAATAAGCTCATTTCTTGATGTTATCTCTACTGAAAATTTGAAAATCAAAATTAAAAGAACATATGAATTTATTTCTTCCATGTATTTCTATCATAATATCTGCTTAACATCCAGCATTCTCATCATGTTCAAATTGCATCCTTAAAAGACCAGTGGGATGCAGTAACACGAGCAAAGTTTGTAGTGTATTAAGAACCTCTCGTTCAAGGTCATTGAAGTATTGCTACACATGAGTAATTGAAAAGAGTTGGTCAGATTATCCAGTGTATTATGGCCTGACCATGTATCTAGAAACAGGTTTCCTCCACAGTCTCCAAGTCACTCTGTAGTTGTGAAATTTTCTCACCAACAATCTCCTCACTTACCATTACCACCAAATATTTCCCATAGGCTCTGTGACCAATATGGAAGCTTGTACCAGAAGAAGTTCAGCCTTGACTAATTCTTTACCTTTTCACCTCATAACTTGAAAATATTATGTGCTATTATTTGGAGATTTGTGGATTTGGAGATTTGTGGATTTGGAGATTTGTGGATTTTTTTCCCCTTCTCTTTGGAGAAAATGGACTCATCCTCTTCTTAGTGTCTTTTCCTGATCTGTTAGCTGGGTTTTAAATAATCTGTTAATTATTCATTGCTTGGAATGGGGAAGCACCCAACACTGGAGCACATTTTCTTTCTGTGCAGCAAAAATGATGAGAGGTGCCACAGATAGCTACCATTGGACAGAGAGGTATGCAATCATTCAGAAGATCAAGACTGATTTTTTCTTCTTGATTTTTGCTATTTACAAATAGATGTCTGTGAAACATTGGACTATTTTTGCCCTCCAGTTAGTCATGCAAAAGCAATTCCTTGTGGACAATATTATTGCAGATGAGGTTACACTGAATTGTATTTTGTTAATTTTTCCTCATTTTTTTAAAAAGACCAGTCAAAGAAGAAAAATACTAAAATAGGGAAAACACAAGAACAAAAATGACACTTGAAACAGTACCTGTCCCTTATTGCTCTTTTTTCATGCTTGCACAGATATGACATGGTTCATTCAACAGAAATGTATAAATGAGGGACTAAAATCGATAGACAAATATAAATCAACATTAACTACTCAATATATAGCAACAGATCTCATTCTGAAATGATTTATCCAGAACTGCACTGACAGTTTCTGTAACTCAAAGGGAACAATTTGTTGCTTTTGGTTTTGGTGGGAGTTTTTTATAAGTTTGTTTGTTTTTCCCCAGGACAAGTAATTTATAAATGCAAAACTAGAATCAGATTCTTTTTTTTTCAAATATTCAAATAGTAAATTCTATCCCATTGCAACACATCATGAAAACAATTATGGACTTCATCTTTCAATTTATTTAATAGTTATACTGGTTCGCTTCAGTGATATGATAAACCACAAAATCAAAAGGACAAATAGAATTTAAGACAATAAATCACACAAATGTGCAGTTTTGAAGGTGATTTCCCATTAGCCCTTTTTGCTGCTTAACAAACAATGAAACAACAAAGAACAGGAATAGGGGGGAAAAAAACCAAAATGATAGCTGTGATTTCCAACTTTTTCTTGAGCTCTGAAATACACTGGATGAAATCAAGAGTATATTGGTAATTTGTGCATCCTGTAAATAATCTGTAATGTTAAACTTTAGGAGTAAAAATAACTAAAATGTGTCATGAAATTGAAATTCAAATATTAAATGCAAAAATAAGAAAAGCAGAATGAAGTAACTTCAAGGAAAGAATTCCCCCCGCACCCCTTCAGTGTTGTGTTTCAAGAGAGGGTCAAACTGACAACTCAAAACAAATGAAGCTCCTTATTTAGGCACTGAACAGGAACAAAATAGACAGGAAAAATGACAACACTTCCAAAAGATTCAAAGCCCTTCCAACACCCCTTTCAAGCCAAAGTCTTTAAGCAAAACTGCCTCAGTTCACAGGAATGTTCTGAACCATCCTTCAGAATGCTGTAAGTAGTGTTCAAGTTGTAGCTATGTAAGGTAACTGCATCTACCAGGTCAAAGCTTTTTGACAGAGATGAAATAACACAGTAACTGGATATAGATTTTAATTCATTTTGCATGTCTAGCCTGGAGCTTTAGTTCCATTGTTAGCAGCACCAATTAAGGCAGATACCAGCCTTACATCCTTCATACAATGAATAAGACTAATATACATCCACTAAACTTTGCTCCTGTTTTAGTCAAGGAAACCCAGCTGCATTTTACTCACTCTGAGCAAACAGAGGAAGGATACCTGTACCCTGTGGCATATGCACAGACATCGTCACTCAGTGAATTTGTTATTTTAACACAGGCAACACTGACTTCAGTGACAGACCAAGTGAGTATTCCCTCTGCGGGCAAAGCAGCAGTTTGCTGACTGGAACGTGGCACACCAGGCAGGTTTTGCTTAATTCCTGGGAAGTCTCAAGTGTCATTTTACAAGCACTTTATCATTGTGAGCTCAATTTGGAACAACTAAACTCCACAGCAGCACACAGGTGAAGTTCTGTCAACTACTAAAGTGCATTTTTTCCTTTACTTTTTTTCCTTATACAACCGGTTTTCTACAGGCTTAGAGCATCCACAATCATATTCTTAAAATCCAAGAAGACTTCTCAGAGAGAGAGAGAGATCGGAAAAGACAGTTCTGAGACTGATTTATTCTTTAGACTTGTTCCAGTGATAAATGAACAGTCTCATCTCTCTCTGTCCTTCAAAGTTAAGGAAATAAAGTTAAGAGTACATTAAGTTCTCCCATGCAGTACAGCCCCTCCATGCCAGGTGCTCACTCCCAATAACACTTTTTGCAGAAAGGGTTACATATTGCCAAATGCTCTGGGTAACAAAGGAGTTCTGAAAGAAAAATAGTAGAAATACAGTGGCCAACAGAGCTCTGACTAACTATAATAAATAATGTAAATTTATTACCCCCAAAACCCCTACCAACTTCAAAATTTGAAAGCAAGGAATGTTTTTTTCTGATAATCTGAACTCAGAATAAAGTCTTTACATTGATCAAAAGTTATTGCCAACAAAATTCCACCCACAACTCTAAATCTAGAAAATATGCACCCGTAGAGAATTGTATCTCTAAGATAGAATTTTCTCAATATTTAATCAGCTTTTAAAGACAAAAATCATGTTTCAAAGTGAGTCTTTTTCTACTTTAATAGAATACTAATGCCTAATTTTCTTAGCCTTGAATATTAAGTAAAAACAATTCTTAGAAAAAGAAGACTTGGTAAAAATATTGGGGATATTTCATACATAGTAATTTTTATAGATTATAAATGAGTAACAGTTTGTACTTAATTTCATGAACACTTAGGGAACATTCACATTATGTGTTATTGTCATAAGTTTAAAATACAAGGTAAGTGCCTGCAATTCCTTTTAATTCCCAAAGCTCTTAATGATTTGTAACAAATCATTATGCATTATATATAATTTTGATTATTACAGGTAAAAGAAGCTGATAGTTTATGGGATTATTAATTAAAGTTTAGATCTAAAATAGTCTGTGCAGTAAGATGAAGAGAGGGACCAAAACTAAAGACTCCTTAGGGATTCAAAAGAAGGTTAAAACTCTTTGAAGAAAAAGATTTACAAGTAAATGTGTACTGCTAGATTTAAAACATAACTACAAAAGTTATGTTTTCTAATATGTTTTCTAATGTTGCTATTATTAGTTTAATAAACAGCATTAGAATTTTAAATTTATAGTAGAAAGGTAAGTGTCAGCTTTCTCAGACTTTTCTTTCTCTGTCATAGGAAAATCTGGTAGAACTTTCTTACCATCCTCATTTTTATATGTAGAAGTGTGACTAAGCCGTTTATTGTAAAATTAATTTCTTTGAATTTCTTCAAACACAACAGAAAGATGTTTTGATATGTCTTTCATTCAGTGTAAAGAAAAACTCTTGCATCACAAACACTGGGTTTCAATGGGAATAAGAACATATTCCACTGTCTGTCAAAAAAATAGGTAGAAGTTACCAAACTCTAAGGATTTCATTTACATAAACCACATAAGCAGGTAAATAAACATTGAGCTGAAGTTAACTTAGTGCTGCATAGCACAAAGTTCAGATTATGGCCTGTTGTTGCAAAGAGCTGCAAATACTTTCTCTTTATGCAAGATAACTAGAAGTGTGATGTTAGTAGTTTCTTTGACCATAGGAGGTACTTCAAGGTAATTTCCATGTACAGAAGTTAGATTTCTAAAAAACTGCCCTCTGTAGAAGAGAATCAGACTGGATAATACTTCAGCAAACTGAAAATACATAAATAAGTCCATGGGCCCTGATAGGATGTACCTGTGAGTGCTGGGGGATCTGGTAGATGTCATTGCAAGGATGCTTTCCACAAACTTTGATGGATCATGGCAAATGGAAGCGTCTGAACACTGGAGGAAAGCAAATGTCACTTTCATCTTCAAGAAGGATAATACAGAGAACCCAGGGAACCACAGGTCAATTTGAGACTTCAGCTCAAACCCTGGGAAAGTGATGGAGCAAGTAATCCTGAGAATCTTTAGGTGCATGAAGCACAAAAAGGTGATCAGGAATAGGCAGCATGGATTCCCCCAAGGGGAAGTTCTGCTTCACCAAACTGCTCACATTCTATGATAGAACAGCTGGCTTGGCAGACACAGGCAGAACGGCAGTTGTCGACAGCCTTGACATCAGTAAGGCTTTCAACACTGTCTCCCATAAGATTCCAACAGAGAAGCTAAGGAAGTGTGGGCTGGATGAGCAGACAGTGAGGTGGGCTGAAAACTGGCTGAACCACTGGGTCCACAGGGCAGTGATTAGTGGCATGAAGTCTAGTTGAGGGTCAGTAAGTAGTGGTGCTGCCCAGAGGTCACTCCTGTGTCCAATCCTATTT